ACGATAATACTATTATCTTATAAAGTCTACAAAGATTCAAAAATCTTACATAACTAGAGATATAATCGGTAAATATGGTTTACAATTTAAATACATTAATTTGGATAATTAAGTTTCTTAAATTGTATATTATATGAAAATCACTTATCTATAAAAACTTGAAAATCACTATAGGACTTATTATCCCCACACGATAATGTGATTAGTTTAGTCCCTACGAAGATCCTTAAATCTCACATGGAACTTAAATAAATTATTAATTTGGATTATAAAAGGATAGTTAATTTTAACATATAAGTTTTGCTCTTATATCTGCGAAATCTTATTGATTTACATGATACGAGATTGCTTTAAATGTCTGCGGAAATTTTTTTAAAATCTCACATGACAAGTAAGTGATTAGAAACCAATTTTCTCTTACTTATTTCATGTTTTTTTCAATTGGGTAATAATCAAATTTTCTCTCCTCCTCCTTTTATAAAATAGGCTCGTCATAATAATTGAAATCGTACATGCGATCATCATAGAAAAGTGTCATACACATGAGTGTAATATTATTGACAATTAAAGGACTTTAGGACTAATGGAAATGAAAAAACATGCCCACACATATTAATACGCCCTTTCATGATAAACACATATTTAAAGACCCTGCCTAATAATTGCACTAACTCTTTTTATTTGAAATGAGATTATGCCTAAAATTGCATTTAAGCTTAGTTATGATAGCAAACAAAATTATTATTTGCAATCTCTTTATCCTTCTTTTTCATACTCTCTTTTTTTATTTTTTAAGAAAAAGAGAATTACGTTGATTTTTACTTAAAAAAAATGAGGGACGGGTATTTAAACATGGAATTTGTTTGGAAATTAATAAACTAAAATCAAACTGAGCATTTCAAATTTTTAAACAAACAGACTAATAAACTTGTGTGTAACACGTCTCAGCTCCGTCTCACCAATCCAGCAGACTCTTCCCTTCCTGATCTCGTTTCCTCTTTCTCTCTGTCTTTGTTTTCAGCTTTCACGTCCAGCTTTCTTCTCTTCTCTTCCGTCCATCCTCATGCTCTTCTCCTCGATCTCCTGCTCTGGATTTCTGCTCCGTTTTCACGTTCCTGTTTCTCCTTCTCAGTCTCTCTCTTCTTGGTATCTGTTTGTTTTTTTTTGCCTCCTTCGGTCTCTCTCTTCTCCCTCTCTTTCAAGCTCTGTTTCTTAGTTTCCTTCTCCTCTCTCCTTCTCCGTTTCTCTCTTTCTCTCCAGATGCCCTCTTCTCTCTCTTTTTTTTGCATTTCGTTTCTCTCCTTCCTTCCTTTTTTCTGGTCTCTGTTTTTCTCGTGCATGCGGTGTTTCCTTCATGCTCTGTTCTTCTCGGTTTCCTCCTCATCTTTCACTCTCCGTCTCTTTCTCATTCTCCATCCTCTCTCGAACTCTCTCCTCTGCCTCTTTTTCTCTCTCAGCCTCTCTTTAGCTTATAATCTCTGTCTCTGTTTTGCTGCGTTTTTTCATCGTCCCTTCTTGCTCTATTTTTCCAGCCCCTTCAGTCTTCCCCTCCTTTCTGTCCAGCATGAACATCCTTTATATTCTCAGTCTTTCCCTCTCGGCTTCCTCTTTCTCTCCTTTTCTACTGCTCTTTCTCTGCTCTGTTTCTCTCACGTCTTTTTCGTGCATGCGTGACTGCATGTTGTTTTTTTTCTACTACTGTCTTTGTGTGTGCTCACTGCTGTCTCCCTTTGTGTTGCGTGCACTTTTTCTATTTTCTGTAACGTGCATGTCTGGTTTTGCGTCTCTAGCTCTTCTTCTATGCGTCTGAGCCTTTTTCCCTTTCCAACACTCTCTCATCTTCTTTTTTTTGCGTGAGTGTTCCTGCTGCTATCTTCTTTGCTACCTCTGACTTTGCCCTTTGGTGCTTGACCGTGTGTGCTCATTCTGCTTTCTTTCTCTGCTTCTGTCATGTCTGCCTTTATTTTTATCTAATCTTGCGTGTTCTTATTTCTGCTTCTTCTGTCATGGCCGAAAGTATACTTGCATGTGTATTCCGTGTGTTCGTGTTCTTTCACTTGTCATAATGCTCCTTTTTTTTGTCAAGCAGATTAAGGGAGAGGGAAAAGATCTAATTTTAAAATACATATTTCAAATAAAAACATTAGATTTAAGGAGATAAATTTAAAAATATTTAATCCTCAAAAGTTGATTCTCAATATTTTCAAGATTTAACTCTTTTTTTGTTAAATTATTATTTTTTGAAAATTATAATCCTAAAAAGGATTAAATTTTATTTTATATTTTTATATATTTTTTGGTTATTTTGAATGGACTAAAAGAAATAAGATCCTAACTAATAAAAGATTATCTAAGTTAAAACAAAATTAAACCCTATTAATTATTTATTTTTTTTAAAATATAATCCTAAAAAGGATTAAATCTCATTTTTGTATTTCTATATTTTTTGATTATTAAAAGAAAATATCCGGACAAGATACGGGTGTTCACATTCATTTTTTAAGATTTGCCCATCAATATTTTATGATATAAGAATAAATTATGTCTACAATAAAATTTTTTGTAATTTCTTTATTAATATAAACTATTATTAAGTTGGTGAAGATTTTATCTTTTCCATGAACATTAAATAATTTAAATGTATCCTTAAGTTCTAAAACAATCTAAAAAAACTCTATTACTTACTTATTGAATTTACTATTTAATTCTTTCTTTCTTTTTTTTGCTAACACTATTTAGTTCTTTCAATAGATAATTGTAGTAAATAAATATATTAATACTATAATGATGCTAAACTATTATAAATTTTTTATATCGATGATATTTAAGTATATCATAGTAAAAAGTATTCTATAATATACATCACATTTAATATATTTTGAGATTTTTGGTGCAATATTTAATAAAGTTTGTTTGATAATACTTTTTATAATTTATTTTATCAAAGATAAAATGAAAGCAAAATCAATGGTATTAATGCTTTAAGAGCAATTTTAACATTGTCTTTTTTAAAATAAATAGATCTTATGACAACTATATCTTCAGGCTCCTCAAACAGTTAAGTTATACATGTGTAAAAGACTATGATAAAATTGAAATGAAAATTTCATTTAATATCTTAAAATTTTTTTAACATGCCAACTTAAGATGTAAAAAAATATATTCTTATATTTTACTAAAAAAATTTAAAAAGTTAGGAAAGGTTGTTGGTTTTCCAGTCTCCACCCGTGTGTTCACAACTCATAAGAATAATGAGTGGCAAGTGAGTTTGGTGAGCTCTGATATGATAGAAGCCTCAAAAAAAAAAAAAAAGGGTCAAAACGTGGTTTTCGCGACACTTGTGGGGAAAACAAGCATGCACTGATCGAGCAAGAAATGAGAAATCTCATATCAATTGTCCATTTACATGTATTAATTAATTGACATAAATCTAATTACGCTACAATTAATCACAATTTGGATAAAATTGCAACAATATGGCGACCTTTCTATCTACACACTGCTAAACACCTCTTTTTTTTTATTTTGAAATAATATTTAAATTCTCAGACGCTATGGAAGCATTCAACATTTTTTTTTGGGGGGGGGGGGAGATAATGAATAGAAAACCGGTAACTCTTTGAACAAAAAATATTTAGATACATCAGGTACACCATATTATTTATGGTCTGTCCAATTAAAATACTTTAAGTAATCTAAATAAAATCTTGTATGACATTTTTAAAATTAATTTTATTTTTATAACAACATACATATTTGATTTCTAACATTTTCGCTCTCTACTATCATTAATATTAGAATCAATTTATATTTAATGCTAATTAAATGTCATATTTTATTGAAAAAACCACCACAAATATCATGATACATCCGATCTACCTAAGTGTTTCTCCTCATTGAATTAGCTAATTGGCCAACCTGGTTTATAACCTAACTTAGGGTAGTGCTAACCCAACTAACCCGTGGGACTTGATCAATTCAGTTATAACTTGATGTGTCAATTTGATGGTGACTTGGTCAACTTGGTCTGTTGCAATAAATTTATTTTAATAATATATTAGATAAATTTAGTAGTTATGAGAAGATTATGTAAGAGATTTGTTAAAAATAGATTGCAGAATAATCTTTCAAATATTAGTTGTGATAGAAACCGTTTCTCTTATATTAAGTTTTTGTTAAGTTATTTGAGCAAAATTATTTAACTTTTTATTAAAAATTTATTGAGTTTGTTGAATTTTTGTTAGGATTCTACTACTATGTATAAAATTTTTCTCTCTTTATTGAATTTTTGTTGGATTATTTGAGAATAACTAATAATTTGTTATTTAAATATTCATTTTTATATTCAAATATGAATAATTTAATGTATATAAATTAAATTAAATTATTTTAATTAAGACTGGTATGATTCTAAGTTAATCCTCATTTAAACTACTAACTCTTAATTTATTATTTTAATTGATTCAACAATCGATCTCATTTTTAGTACTTTAAACAAAAAAGCAATCAGCAAGCGCGTTAATTTAAAAAAAAAAAACAGAAGTAAAAGTCAAAGCATGCGTTTTGAAAAATGACCAAAACTGAAATAAAGAAAATCATTCCAGTCTGACTAATTAGCTTCAAGCAGTCGTAACTCGTAATTCTCGAATTTCAACTTCTATGTCATTTTGTTTCCATTTCCACCTTTTTGAACTCAGTTTCCGACTTCTACTTCGTAAATCGCAAGTCTCGACAAGAATGATTTTTTTTTTTTTTTAACTTGACGAAAAGAACAAAAACCAACTACTTCTACGCCAAAAAAGTTAAACAACTAGTAAGACATGATTTTTCAAAACCTTGAATTTCTTCATTAAAAAAATTATCTAACCTAATTTTGGTCTAATTGGCCGCCTAGTCAGGCCAGGAATTTGACCATCATTAAAAAAAAAAAAAACCTAAGTAATCTAAATGATATATCAAATTTTGTTTAAAATAACTAAGTTGACCATACATGTAAAGTATTGAATTTGAAAAACAAAATATATTATTCATAACTCAAATAATACGTTTTATATTATATATGTATGGCAATGAACATGATCCTTGAACAACGATATTTCTTTTCCTCACATACATACTATGGAATGAGGGAAACAAAAATCATGAATAGAAAAAAAGAATATAGATATCAATTAAACTCCAACGGGTTTAATCAGGGAAGAGTTCTGTCTCTCGAAAGAGAGTAACCATTGACAGGTACAGATTTGCAGCGGATATTAGAAATTTGATCTCTTCTCAGAGAGAATGGATCGACCCCTGCCTTGTGAGCTGCAATTACTCCGATGGCTTCCCAATAGTTTGAGACCTGAAGCTGCAGCAAACGTAACTTCATTAACCAAACTACTTTTACTTAAATACAAGACGTTAATTAATGCAACCAAGAGTCCAAGAGTTCAGATAATGATTTCTACTTCAATGTGAGAGCTTCTGTTTCTTCATTTACTTGTGTATCTGTCTATCTTCACTTTTTGTCTTCAAATATTCTTATATACTTTTTCATTTTCCACCCTCTTACTGAGAGCAGATTGTTGGCATTAAAAGTGCATTTGACAACATAAGATTTCTTGGATAGTCTGATACAAATGGAATAGATCATTAAGACCCACTACTAAGAATACATATTTTTTGCTCAAAATCGTCTGAAGAAAAAAAATTAATTTGATAAAAGACAGATTTAGACCCTCTAAATGTTGTTTGTCTGTGAAGTGATTCCGAAATAAGAGGGATAGATAGAAAAGAGGCAGTGGAGAGAGAGAAAAGAAGTGAACTCTATGTAAACTCTCATTCTGTCTCACTCTCTCCCACTTCAAAGACACATTAACATCAGAGTCAGAGGAACAAAATTTGAAACAACATACTGTCACAACAATTGTCCAGTATCTTCTCATCTCAATAGTTGAGATTAGGCCAAGATGAGGTCCTAAATGAACCAGATCTTCATCTCAATAGTCGGGACAAAATGTGCAGTATCTACTCATTCATTACACAACCAAGAAATATAACGATCCAGCTAATCCTGAAACTCAAGAATATTGATATTTGCCTGATATTTCTGAACATTATAGGTTCTGTAACTTCCTGCTACAAATAAAAAATGTTCCAGCTCTTTGGAGAGGTAAAATTATCTATCTCAAATCATATATAGGAAATTTGTAATTCAGCTTCGCAGGACTTGATTAAAATGGTAATGGTCACTGAAAAGTATCTGAACCATCAACTTTCGTTTTAATACCTCAAGTTCCTATCTCATCTCCTAACCAGAGAAATCTAAATTCAAAGAAAATGGATTGCTTACCGCTTCAAAGCCAAGTTTATCTGGGGTATCATTCAGAACAGTTTCATTTTCTTCCACAGTGATTATAAGAGGCTGCATGAATATTACAAACAATAGGATTAGAAGGGACACTAGCATCATAGGAATTGCTTGCAGTTCAATATCTGGAGGTAGTATGGTGTGCTGGTAGGAAGAAGCCAAAATACCATAAAGGAAAATTGTCATTGCATATTCAAATCAGAAAATATACGAGTTAAAAATTCATGTTCGGATTTGTACCTTATTTTTTCTACTTCTTGCAAAAGCAAGAGCTCCTTCCCCTCCACATGCATCTTTAGGAAGGATAACAGAATCCACATCACTTGCCAGTATGCAGCATCTCTCCATAGAATCAGAGTTCTTCACCAAGTATTGTGGAGCATTGCTTAAGCCAGCAAGCACACATGGTAGGAACGTATAACCTAGCTATCTAACAAGAGCAAGTCATTTATAACTCAGAACAAATCACAAGTACTGTTATCCAAGCAAATGCAGAGGAAAATGAAAATCAAATGTATAATCAAAAGTCACTCTTAGAAAAATTTATAATGAAAAAGCTTGTGAACTAATAAAAAATTTTAATCAATTAATAAGGTAATCAACATTTGACAATAACACTATATTTTATCATAACTTTTAGACAATCCTAAATTGATGTGCCCATACTTCAGTCAACTTTTCTTAGCTTTATCATGCACTGCATATTATTTCATATCAGCATGCTGCCTAGTCTGTTTACAGTTAATGCCAAAGATAGTGGAATGTGAGTGTTTAATACCAACATCTTATTTCTCACTAACTTCAGTCTGGAAGCCAAACTGGCAGCTTAATTGTTCACTCTCTATCCATCTCTCTGCATTAGGCCTTCTTTATTTAGTGTGAATAAGACAAAAGAAGCTAAGAGGTTAGGCCCAACCTCCTCGGCAGCTGATTTTGGGCATAGAGATGGGCTAAGGGAAAAAGGAGATAGTGCAGGAGCATGTGCACAAGGAATTTGGAAAGTCCTAACAACCAGATGGCTAATAACTGCCTCAACACCTGCCAAATTGTCTATTCCCTGAAAAGATCAAAATGAGGAAAGAAACCATGACTGTGAGTATTTTCACAATGAAAGAAGGGGAAACAAGGATTAACAAAAAGAAAGAGAAGCAGCCAAGCAGCATCCAACATTTCTTTTAGTCCAATATAGCTTGCAAAACTGATTAAATTACATTCACTCCCATCAGTGTATTTCTAGGTCCATAATGAACTAATGATTATTGCCATACCATTCCTTGCCGATAGTCATCTACCTCTTCAATATCATCATCTGGAAAGCGTCCAACAACAGCAATGGCATTTACTTGCGACCGGTTTGCTAAAGTTTCTACAGCTCTAAGTAAAGAATCGGGGTGTTTAATCCTCCCTGTTGATTGTCCACTTTCTGGATCAACCCACTTCTCTACCTGTAAAATTTGATCCAGGCAAAAATCTTGCATTCATATTGGATGGATTGCTCACAAGAAGAACTAGACATGCTAGGGCAACTTGAACTACTGAGAAATCATCATGCCAAGAGTAGGAAGAATAGACATGTCTGATGAAGTTCCTTAGTCCAACATTAACATTAGGTTGCTTAGATACGGGGACGAGCATCCGATACGATCCGGCATGATATGGCAATATAGAAAATTTTCAAAACTTTAGGATACAAGTACGAGGACATTTATAATATATATTTTAACATTTTATGACATAGATATTGGTATTTTCTTTTTAAACGAGAATTTCTAAAGTAATACAAGGATATTTATAATAATCAATTAAACTATTAAGTGTTTTTTCAAATTTTGAAGTGATGTAGTAAAAAATTGTTGAAAAATAATCATGTTATACAAATGTTAGAATGTGGGATACGTATGCTAAAGTATCCTACAAGTATCATATCGGACACAGATACGTTTACTTTTTTGAAGTATCCATGCTTCATAGATTAACATAGTACATTTAAGAAATTTTTTAATGCACGTTCAACTTAGAGACATGGATAATATGCCTCAAGTCATGTCCAGAGTATTGCTTACACCAATCCAAGAGGCTTGGTGTGCATCTGATCTTTTGTCTGAACAGATTTGAAGGATACAGCCAGAAAGCTGTGCAGCAGTTGCATATGAAGTAAATTTATATAGGGTCCCCATACATATGGCATTATGCAAAAATTTGATAACACTGGACGCAACAAGAATATTCAGCACCACCAACACAGCCATTCATTTTCATTGAGGAGCACATACTTTATACAGCTTCTATATTCCCTCTCAAGAGAGCAATAGCTGCCATATTTGAAATTTAAACGCCTAAATGTCACTTTGAGTATGGAACTTATGCTGGATAGTTTACACATCATTAAGCAAATCAAGATACTAGGGTGCTGGATACCTTGAGTGGAGTGTCAGTGACAATATATTCCACAACATTCAATCCAAGGGAAGCCCTTGCAGCATCAGCTACTTGCAACTGGCGAATCTGAAGCTCCTTCTCAATTCCAGCATCAAGAACTAACCCCACCTGATACAAAAGAACAATGAATAATAATCCAAAATATAATTCATATGTAGTGAAAGGAAATGGCATGAGGAAAAAATCACCGGTTAAATTTCAACCCCACATGACACAAGCTAATCAAGGCTACAGCATACAAGACAACCATAGAGACATACCCTGTTTTGGTGAACAGGCTGTAAGGCCCATAATCCTTCTGCAAAGCGGTCCAGAGCATAACCTTCAACATATAATGTATTAGGCAAGGGCCAGTAGAGCATTGCAGCATTAAGAACCTGTAATTTGATAATTCATAGCAAACTACAATAATGCATGTGAAATAGGACAGATAACAAGACATACAAGAACATTAATTTCCAAACTACCAATACAATCAGAATACAAAACATGGGGGGGGGGAACTACAAAAGACGCAGCCGCAGAATCAACGATAATGACAACAATGACAATGTTTCGCTTGCATTTGTTTCACATTATGGGCTCAAGCCTCAATTTTTGACAAGCATTCCCTTGAAATCATGAGCTCGAGTCTCAAATTAGAATAACTTATATGTTAAACCAGAAAAATCTGCCTCAATGACAAATGAATTTACCAAATAATATGAATCAACTGAGAGGGGGAAAAAACTAACACAGTACGAAAATGAGCAATGCAAATTAGTAAATATCAATTCATTGGGTTTATCAGATAGGGAAGCGAGATACGTTAGGGTGAGTGATAAGGCAGTCAACAACGTTGGAGAGAGCACGCGCAACCGGCAAAGCGTCGCCGGCGAATCCACCAATAGCAGCTCCTATCCCCGTTGGCACTATCATAACACTGGTATACTGCCTCTTGAACTGCGTTTCAAAACATAGAAAAATTACTAACCTCTCTCTTTCACATACACACAACAATCATTAACCGCTCTTTGGTTCTGGATAAATGCTGGGAAATAGTAATAGGTTTACTATTTTTTTCTTTTTTGAAGAAGAGAGGGAGTAACCTTAAAAGACGAGTGAGAAGAACAGAAAATGGTTGTCTTAAAGGGAGGAGACTTTCGGCTGAGTAATGGACTCCGGCGAGGCAAACACGGAGGTGAGCGACTGATAGTAGCTTCCATTGACGAAGGTTAATCTTCCCCACTGAGTTCCAAAGCTCGAGCCTTTAGCTCGGGCACAGCTCTGAAACGATAAAATCCCTCCATGGAATTATGGCTCGACCAATAATTTTCCTCTGCCATTTAAATTTAATTTTTCAGTCAATTTTTTTAGGGGATTAATTTTATTTTATTAAAATTGACTTATATTTTGAAACGATTAATATCTTAAAATTATTTTATAATTAAAAATAAAAGGTATTATTTTTAAAATGTTAGGTTAGTAATTAAAATAGTATTTTTATTCTATATTTAAATTTCAACAATAAAATAAAAAGAAAATCTGATAAAAAATAAGAGGAAAATATAATTTACATAGTCCATCTCTACCTTTCAATGTGTGTGAGTTGAATGTTGAAGTAATTTAATTTTTATTAGATATTGTGTTTTTATTTTTATTTAAAAAATAATAAAGGAGTTTTTTTTCTTTTTCTTTTTGGAAAAAGACTATGGCAAAGTAGAATTTTAGTTGAGGATACAGGAGAGAATTAATTTTTAGTGGATTTAAAAACATTTTGAAATTTTATTTCAATCTAAAAGAGAAAAGTTAAAATAATTTATATTAAAAAAAATTAAAATATTCGTTACTTATTATACAGAATCACTAGTTATTAATTTTTTTACTTCACCTATTAATTTGCTAATGTCACTTGTAAATTATCTTAATTTGTCAGACAATCAGTAACATTAATTATTAATTTAATAACCTTATTTGTTAATTTATTAACATCAATTGTAAATTACATGACATGTTAGTAATTTATAATTCATGTTAATAAATTATAAAACCTATCAATAATTTACAATTGATACTAATAAATTAACAAGTAAAGTTAGTAATTTAAAAATTAATATTGCTACTTATGATTTTATAACTGATATTGTAACATCCTAAAAATTTTAAGACTCAAATTTATTTAAAAAAATAAATAAAAATAAAATAAAATATCTATAATTAAATTAAAATTTAGAATAATTTAATAGAGGCCCAGAGTTTGAATTTTACTAAGCAAAAGTTTGGTTTTATTTGATTTTTAACTATGGAAAAAATTACCAAAGTTGACCCGGGCTTTTGTGCAATAATAAAAAATGTTGGGCCCTTTCTTGTAATTTTTCCCAAACTTTTTGACCAGCAATTTAAAAACCCAAATTGATGCAGAAACGCAGAAATTGAATTGGGAAGGAAAGGAAAGGAAACGTATGAGAGGGAGAGAGGAAGAAGAGAAGAGAAAGGGAGGGAGTTAGGCTTGGATTTAGGAGTCTTTGCGACCGTTGCGAGCTCGGCTATACGATAGGTAAACTCCCTACTTCAATCCTCTTCTCTTTCTCTTGATTTTCTTCAATTTTTGGAAGAGAAAATTTTAGATTTTGATCCCAAAGGCTTTATTCTTGTAAGCTTTTGTTTCTTTGGATCCTAGGGAGCATGTTTTGAGTTTCTATATAGTGATCTAATATTTTGAGTGGATAATTGGATGAAAAGAGGTGTTTTGGGCACAAAATAAACCTTGAGAAATTGGGTTTTTGCTCCTCAATGGTTTAAGCCTATTGATTTAGTTATAATTTTGCTATTTGAGCCCAATAAGATTTAAATTAAGGTTTGGTTTTCATTATAAGGGCTAATGGTGAAAGTTGGTGGCACTAAGTGAAGGTTTTTAATTGATAAAAAATTATATAAATTGAAAATTAGCCTAGTGATGGCTAATAAATGGTTTTGGTGGTTAAGTGATACTATGTGAATGGTTGGTTTAATATATGGACCATTAGGGTGAATTATGACTCATTGACCTAAGTTGTGTGGTATGAGTTATAGTCTTCATTAATGCTATTTGTCATGATAAGTGATGTGGATCACTTATATGTTGTAGAAAATTGTTGGTGGAACTTATTGAGAAGTAAGGAACAAGCCGAGCCCTATTTTGTACAAGGAGAACCCTTTTAGTACCAAAGGGTTGAGGTAACAGGGGAATTTATATTTCTTATTACTTTGTTTTAGCTATTTTTGAATAAATATTACTAGTTATCATGCATTACATGTTTTAAAAGATTAAATGTGCTTTATAAGGGGTTATGGGGTACTACTTTGATTATAGTGCAAATATGTTTTCTAATTGTTTAATAACAATGTTTTTATGGAAATGAGATTTATAAATATTATACTACTTTAGAGTGTTGAATGGTCAATACTCAGGAAAGGTAGACAAGAGTAAAAGGCATGATCTCGGTGGGAGTTCACCAATGAGAAGGTGTGGATTTTTGATATTCTATGGCACACTGTCAGTACTCAGTGTTGTCTTACGTATTGTGGGCTCAGTGCACTAAAGTGGTTAGTGTATTGAGTGTTCGACACCTCTCAGTGGGGGAGGGAATCCAACATATGAAGTGTGAGGTTGAGTGCCTAGGCCAAGGTAGCCCTCACATGGAAAGTAAGTTGGGTTGGCTCTGGGAGGGAGTTAGCTTCAACTGCTTAGGATTCACGTCGAAGGGGCATAGGAGGTTCGGTGGATTAGATCATGCCTTAGATTATGTTTTGTGCCTGTGGAGGTACAAGTAGGTATAAGGTTTACCTGCGAGTTAAAGAGTGCCAGGGGGTATTCTGTTGGTCATGAAAGGCCATACCGGCCTAGGTCATGCATTCATGCATTTTAAATGGCTAAATTATATACTATGTTGAATTTATTATTCGTTTATTTGATTATGGCTTACTTTGTAATAATCAATATAGATTTCACTATTACTGAGACTGTGGTTGTCTCACCCCTTTCTTTTCAATATTCTAGGTCCAGGCGAAGGATCCAGTGGTGGACGGGGAAAAGAGCAAAGCTAGGGGTTTGCTTGTGATTTGTAAAGAACTGTAACCCCTTTCTTTTGAGCAAATATATTGTAATGTATTTAAGATTAGGGTGCCAGTAGGATATGATTATGTGTGTGTGTGAGTGAATATGTGTGGATTGTGTGCTTGTGTATGAATTTTTGTCTGTTTGCAGACTTATGGCTAGGAAACTTGGTTATGGTGTGTGGTTTTAATGGATTTACTTAGTAGACCAAGTTTCTATTATAAGAAGATCTTTATTTTGATATATATGTGATTTTATAAGCAAATGCAAAGTGGTTGCATTGCAAATGGTGTGCTATGGGAAAACATACAGCTTGGATAGAGAGAGTGGGTGCGTGGGCCCCACAAGGAGCTCTGAGCCAAGTGAAAATGTTTAGCATATATATTTATATAAATACATAGTATTTGGATTGATTTGTGACCACTTTTGTATGATTTGTGCATTTTGGGGGTTTAGGGTCCACTTTGGGAAATGGCACCCGGGTGGTCAAATTTTGATGTATGGGGTTTTTCCATCATTTGAATGTTCTATCAGGTGTTTTTAATCTTATTTGACGTGTCCAAAGTGTTCCCACAGGTTTGTGACCATTAGGATGAGATTTGGACAATTTTGAAAATGGTTTTTACCAAAAAGCTGCACTTTTGCATCTGGGTGTTCAAATCTTAATCCGACCGTTGGTTTTCTCTAAAATTTGGGTCACAAGTAAAACCTTTTATAAGCTTTGTGTGGGCTTTGAAATCACGTCGATCGGATATCGGACGGAGAAATGACGCACTTCGAATTTGGTCTGGAGGTGCTGTCATGACAGCATTAAATTGCTGTCATGACAGCTACAGTGTTGAAGTTGTAACCTGTATAAAATTCAATCCGTCTGTTTAATCTTTTCAAAATTTAGTATGCTAATAGTATTCTTTAAAAGTGACATGTGGGCTTTGGAATCACTCCGATCGGAGATCAGATGATGAAATGGTGCACCCCGGAAGTTAGTCCGGAGGTGCTGTCATGACAGCTAAAAGCAAAAATAGTCAATCTTTTAACATGTCTAATTTTTAATCCGACCGTTGGATCTTTTTGAAATTTGGTACACTTATAGTACCCTTTGAATGTGACGTGTGAGCTTTAAAATCACTTCAATCGGAGGTCGAATAACGGAACAGCGCCTCCTGGAAGTTGGCCCAGGAGGGCTGTCATGACAGTTTGTCATGACAGCAATAAATTACTGTCATGACAGCATCTTTTTATTCCATTTTCGTCTAACTTGCTTCCGTGCGCTATAGGTAGAACTTATAATTATTTTTAAGGTTTTAAATGATTTATTTCTTAAGTTGGTTAGAGGATCAACTCCTTAACCACACTTAGTTTGTTTGAATTATGTGATTTTTGGATAACACTCAAGGCAAGTGTTACAAATGTCAAATTATGTAATTTATAATTCATATTAATAAATTAACAAGTGAATTAAAAAAATTAATAATTAACGATTCTACATAACAAGTTAAGAGTATTTTGATCTTTTTACTATCAAAATTATTTTAACTTTTCTCTATTGGATTGAATAGAAATTTTAAAATATTTTTGAACAATCAAAAATTAATTATCTTCCATAATTTTTAATTAAAATTATTTCTAATAATAAATATAATAGTGGAGGCACTAGTAATATCATTAATTTTTTTAATAAAATACATGTTGTATTTGTTAAAAAAAAACAGAGAGAACTTGGTCCTATGGAGAATTCTTTTTTGGGGGGCAAGAAACACACCCAAAGGCCTAAAGTATCACGGGCTTATGAAAGCCCAAATTTAATCGATTTGTTAATAAAATGTGACTAAACGCTTTAGGCTCCAAATCTAGTTATTTTTAGTTACATTTTGGCCAATAATTTCAACAAGCACATCCTTTGCAATGCATGTGACTTCATTAATGTGTTGACATGTTTATATTTATTTAGGTTTTAATTAGTCAATAGGCTTGTGTTTTTCCATTGAAATGGAGAGAAGTCACTTTCACAAGAAACCAGAGTCACACCTCGCTTGCTCAGCAATGATTTGAAAACTATTCTCACTCTTTTTCAACTATCCTATTCATACGAAAAAACAAATCTATCAACTATCTCATACATCTAGAATCAAAAGGAGTAATTAATGGGGATTAAATCTAATGAAAAAGGTTAATTTGTGATGAAGATGAATAGATGTTCAAATT